CTGAGGGACCAAGCAGGCAAATCAGGCTCAGAGAGGTAAGACAGGGCAAGGTCATTTAAGCACTTATAAACAATATTAAGACATAAAATCAACTGGACAGAAGTGATATGATCATATTTTGGGTTAGCAGTTAAAAGAAGAGCAGCTGCTTTTTGCACCAGCTGTAGGCGAGACGGCAAAGACTTTACACACCAACATGGAGTCCATTACAGTAATCAAATCGAGATGAAATAAAAGCATGGATAATGGTTTCAAAGGGCTGCATGAAAGAAAAGGTTTAAGTTTTGCCAATAGTCTTAACTGATGAAAACAGGATTTGACATCTGCTCCAATTTCATTGTGAACTGTAATTTTTTTCCCAGCTTTTTTTCTCCTTTTTTTTCATTACACTGTCACAAGTACAGAGCAACGAAATTTACCTCTGCATTTAACCCATTCCCTTGGGGAGCTGCCATCGTGCGGCGCCCGGGGAGCAGTGTGGGGTTAAGTGCCTTGCTCAAAGAGACAGAGTGGCAGCCTGTGGGAGTGGGGCTCGAACTCAGAACCTCAGGATTCTAACCACTAGGCTGCCACTGTCGCCAATCTTTTCAAACACAGATGAACATTAACAATGCTCTAATGGATGATTATAACGTTAATCATAAATATATTAAAAATTATAACTGTTTTTGACCGAATGTCAATATGTATCAGTGGTATTTAAACGTAGGCATTTTAAAAAAAAATCCCCAAATACACCAGTAAGAAAACAGATTTACTGAAATGTGTGATGTTGAAATCCTACGATATGAAAACAACAAACATGAAACATTACATTCATGAATGACAGTCCAAAGGGCTTGATGTTAAGTCGAAGAGAAAGCAAAACAAAAAAATTGATAGGGCAGGTTAGTCCAGTTTCAAATGATGGGACTCCATAGCTTGCACAGCTTGATCAGCGATCAACCACCCAATCAATCTTTCAATGACGTTACAATCAGCACGATATCTTGCACAGCTTCTTTAGACCCTTTCATTTATGTCACAAGAGTTTAGAGTGAACCTGCTTCTATCAATGAAAGGAATAAAGGCCAGTGTTGAACCTGCCAATTAGGGGGGTTCCTGTTAAATGCCAGTCAAGCTTCACAGTAGAGTGTAATGAGCAAAGAGCCTATCGGAGAACTTGAAGACAGATTTACCCCATTATATCTATTCTAATGAGTTGGTCAGAGACACTCACACATTATACATGTTTGAAGTCTCTTTGTGGGGCTCTATGTGAAATTATCCTATTCCTCCTTGCTAAGAGCAGCAGGCACTGGTTCCAATGAAGGGTTAGGGACCTCTGCTGATTATGTACAGCTCTCCTAGGGTAAATGCATGTCTCCTGCAATCTCCAACATTGCTCCTCAGACTGTGGGGGGAGACACATCAAACTTTCTTGCAATGTCAGAAACTGATGTGCTGTGCTGTAGAGTTGGACTGACTGCAACCTCTGCAGAACCCAGATGTTGCCCCATGCTCTTACTACTGACCCTGGTGTTGGCCAAATGCAAAAGCACTAAAAAGAAGTAAAAAAAAATGTAAAGGGTGTTACTTTTTGGAGCCTCCACCATTGTATCATTGTTTTCCTTTAGTGTACCTTTTGATCATTTCATTTACACCAAGATACTAGCTAACTTGCCTTACCTTAACTTGACTACCTTAACTTTCCACATAGCCCACCAGATCAGTAATCCAGAAGGTTAATTTACTGGATATTAAACTGTGAATAAATTGTTTGTTTCTTTTTTATCAGTGTTTTTAATAGTTTCCCGATACATATTTTTTAAATAATATTTTATCATTCATAATATTAATTTTAATGTTGCAAATAAGCCGTGCTAGCTTAAATAGTAGGTGCCCAAATAAAACTGTGAGAACTGCTGTAAAACCAGCTATGGATAAAAAGTCTACTGAGACCCATCACTTTAGATAAAAAAAAAATAGAAAAACAGTCAATGACCTGGGCTGTCTTGATACACCACTTATTAGAACTCTTAAAGCAAAGCCCCCATTCTAATAAAACAATATCTCTGCTGCATCCCATGGCATTCAGTCCAGCAAATGCCAACTGTTTTGAGAACAGATTTAGCTTGTTGGTAGGTTTTTTGAGGTTGGACTTGCAGCCTTGCACCTGTGTAGCTTCAAAGTGCTGCACACTTTCTCTATGAGCATTTTTTTATTCAGCTGTGCACTTACTGATCCAAGACAAGGATCTGTGTCAATCCCTTAATAAACTGGAAGATGTTATTCCCTGAGAACCAACAGCAATAATCTTCATGAAGAGAAATGAAGACAGAGTGCTTTGTTATTCAGTGTGTGCAGAGGGCGTGAGAGTAACTTCCTTATGTATAGGCTTTATTAATAAGGTTTTTTAAATTCCCCAGCATATAAAAGCTGGATCTATCTTTCCTCCCTAAAAACAATAAACAAACCTGCTAACATGCAGTCATATACATGCCTTAAAAATTGCAGATAATTGCCAGAAAGTAACAACATTTATGTATAATCACTAATCTCCAAAGAGATCTTGCTGTATCTCTCTAGCCAAAACACACACTCTGATACACCTACGCAGAGGGACAAATTGATCCTGGCTCTGAGCTCTGGGGTCGTTATTGGTGTTTTTCCTCAGCTATAATGTTCCTCCAGGAGGAACTCGATGTGTTTACACAGAGTGTGGAATATTTTTGAGTCTATCTATATGGCCAAGTTGTTATTTTAACCTTATGGGGACACTGTAAGGCCAGGAATATAGTAGGTTGTGGGGACTGACAGGTACTTGCAGGGACCAGTCAACTAGTCCCAATGGGGAAAAGTCATCTTGGTTTTGGGGTTAGGTTTAGTTTGAGTTAAAGTAGGGATCTGGGTATAGTTGTGCAAAAAAATGCAAAATGTATAGAAGTCCTTGGAAAATCCCCGTAGGGATAGTTGAACATAATGTATGAGTGGCTGTGTCTGTGTATATGTGTGAGAGAGGAAGAGATAGAGAGGGAGAAAGAATGTGTAATTTATTTGGTTCTGCTCCTTGAGAGAGAGAATGGGAGTGACTCAGCACAATGATTAATTTGTCCTTATAAGCAGTGCTCTCAGAACTCACACACACATATGCACACATTGGCTACTTTAGGGTGGTTGACCTTGTCAGAGATGCTGAGATCTATATAGCGAGGAACATCATTAGCAACAGTTACCTGCTATGACAGAGATAAGCTGTGATCAGATGTGACATGAACAAAGCAGTGCATCCAGTTGGTACAGTATATTATGCACATATGAAGCAGCATCTGGTAACATCTCAGGGCAGTAGGTAACATTTATTCCAACAGTCCTGAAATTAGTAACAAAACAAGGAAAATGCACCTGGTCTTTGTTTCAAAGATATATATCACAGCTCATTGATGGCAAAAGGCTGCAGTTTATGAAGAAGGAGCAACTTTGTTTTGAAAGAAATCTGCAGGGACGAACCCGACATCTTAAAATTCAGGAGCCCTTCAATCAAAATGATGACATCAGTTTGCCATAATGTAAGTGTGGTCATTTGTGGGTGCACAGTGACACACTCATTCTCATCTTGCTATTCCCATGAACTTTAATTGATTTTTAGCCATTTTCAACCCTTTCTATTCCTACTACTTAAAAATAACGCTACCATAACCATTCCCGTGCATACTTAACTCTTACGCGAACTTAATTCACACCTTCGACTGAACTCCAGCTGGAAGCAAAATAGGAACTGAGGACCAGCAAAACGTCCACATTTTGGTACAAAGGATCCTCAGTTGGATGGTGAAATTGAAAGTACCTGCAGGAGCACCCGCAGACACACACACGCATGTTAGGTTTCATTATTCCGGTGGAGATTTCTATTGACTTCCATTCAATCTTAGGCGATTTCAACAGCCTGACCCTGACTCTTACCCTAAACCTTACCATTTTGGGTCCCAAACCCTAACCATGACTCAATTCATACCTCCTCCAAGGCAGGGGCGGAGCTAGATGGGGGGCAAGGGGTGGCCGTTTCTTTCTAATACAGATGTTTGCAACATTAATAATCTCAAGTGCAATATTAAAAAAAAAAAATGTTCATATGTTAACAATTACTTGACAAAAAAAAAGTAGTTAATTATATACATCAATATACTAACATTAAAAATGATAAGAATTAAAAAAAAATAAATAGATTTTGTGTTTTATGGGGTAAAGAGAAAATGATGTGTCTATGCAAGTCATCTAGGAGTCTTCAGTGAAATCATAGATAAATAACTATTTTAATAAAAACTTATTGAATATTCAATTTATGTAGATATTAGTGCTTGTAAATATCAATTTTATGCATAATGATTATTAATAAATTTAGGTAAGTAATAACAATGGAAAAGATGTTCGCCCAAAACTCAAATCTGAAAGAATTTTATCCATTATACATTTTATATAGAAAGCATAGATGTTTGAATATATTCGTCTATTTGTTAACAAAGGCAATGGGAAAGTATAATTTGTCTTTATTTAGAAAATATGGATGTTTTGCTTGTTAATTTTCCTGTTGGAACAGAGTAGATTGAACGTGAGGTTTTGGTGCTTATCTGTTTTCGGCCACCCCTCAGTGTACATTGGTTATTGCCTGGCCACCCTTATAAAATTTTCTCGCTACGCCTCTGCTCCAAGGGGACCTGGCAGAGGTCCCCATAAGTTAAATGTTCATTAAGGCCAGATTATGCAATGCACATCTGGCTGGCCCCTACCAACATGCACAGTTATGTCGGATGGAAGCTATTTTTTCTGATATTAGTGGTAAAATGCCCAGCAGGGCCTGATCTAACCGGAGCTATTCCACCACTAGTCTGATGGTGTCACTCTTGCTCCTCGATCACTCTTATTACCCAACTCTCCCCCCCACTGGCACGCGCACGCTCTCGCGCTTCAACCCCGGATGGATGACTTCACCGCTTCGCCTGGGTTTCCTTTATGATCCCGGGATCTCCCACATCCCTCGCCAGACATCAGCCAGCAGCACCACTGAACGCAGCTCCCTCCCTCCCTCTCTCTCTCCTTCACGCATAAACACCATCTCTGGCTGCAGCTGCACCGCATCCACAGACCTCCCCGCACCGGGCTCCAACCTAAGAGAAGAGAATAACGGCTGCAACTCGCACCAAAGGGGATCTACAGCAACTCTTCCGAGGAGGGAAGACTACTTTGTGTTGCTTTTTCTTCCTTTCCTGTTCTACCCTTGCCGCGATGTCCGAAGTGCTGCCATATAACGAGGGGAAAATGAGCGGCTACGGAGCGGACAGCGAGGTCAGCCAGATGTCCTTTAGCTGCGGACTGCAGGACTCAAATGCCTTCTTCGCTGCGTCGCAGGCGAAAAGACCCCCAAAGCTGGGACAGATCGGCAGAGCCAAGCACGGTAAACGATGCTCTACACTAAAATCCATCAAAACTTAAAAAAAAAAAGATGCAAAAAACAATAGCATATAAATAAATTGAGCATATGTGTTAGTGCGTCTGGAATAATCCAGCCAAATCCATCAGTGCGCAATAGAGCTCTTTATTCTAGATGGCATTATGTTTAGATTCATAGACAGATTATCTCTGTGCAGGCAGGGACACACCCTGAGGGACTCTTTGTTAAACCCTAAGAATAAAAGGGCCATTAAAGATGCGCCTTTAACCACAATATGTGCCAGCATTTACTTTGGATAGCTCGTGCGTCTCTAATAGACACGGATAAAGGGAAAACAAAGCGTGTGGTGTGTTATTATTGTAATCTTTTCTTGACTCTAAAGCACTTTAATATAAACATCGTCATTTCTTTTTTTCTCCTTTATGTCAACAGTGGTCATCGAGGACGACCGAATAGACGAGGTCCTGAAGGGAATGACGGACAAGTCCTCACCCGGCGTTTAAAGCGTCTCTGATGGCCTTGCAGACTTTTTTAATTTTCGATCACCCGATTTGAAGCACTTGTCGGCTGTGCATGTTCGAGGATTGCAGGAGAGAGGGAGACAGATGAAAATTAAAAACATGGGCAGCTCTGAGCAAGAATGAGGATGATAAAAGGAGGAGAGTGGGGAAAAAGGAGGGTAATGGACAAGGCTTTGAGGGGGAAAAATAGACAGAGGTGAAGAAAGACTGGTGGACTCTAGAGGAAGGGGAATAAAGACCAAGTTTTATTGTGGGATTGCTGGCAATTCTTCATAAGAATCCCGATTTTAACTATGTTGAGATGGCTGCTGTGTATCTCAACCTCTGCTGACTTAAAATGATGGATTAACTTGTCATTTTTTCTTCACGATCATCTCTTTCAGTTGTTCTTTTCCAGAAATATATATATATCTATATATACATAAAGAAGCGCTGTAAACAACAAAAGACTGCAACTATAGAGGGCAAAACTAAATCCGGCCCTATTTCAGTAAGTTGTACAATAGGTAAAGCTATAAGCTCTTAAACGACCCCCCTCCCTGTTCCTTTCTCAGCCCTTTAGGCTTTGTTTTGTTGATCCAGTCAGCCACGAATTTTAAGGGAGCTGTCCTTTCAGCACTGATCTAATGCATCCCCTGTTGCTGCTAATGCTTTTACAGAAAAACAAAAATCAACCAAACTTTATAGAGTAAAAGGAGATTCATTGTATGTATAAAAGACATATTATCCGAGGATGGTGCAATGTTTATATCTTCTGTAGTGGAACCCCCCCTTTCCTGTTTGTTTCAGTGTCTAAACAGCAGACAAACAGAACACTATGCTCATCCTGCAGTTACCCCTCAGTGGTGAATGGTGCAGGATGGCACCTCCATGTAGCTGATTTATTCCTGCACATATCTTTTTTTTTCTCCTCCTCATTTTTATTTTATTTTATTTGTTTGTTATGCATTTCTTCAAATATCTACAGGGGCCTACAGAAATGTGGAGATTTCCTGTATATGATTTAAATATTAGCCATGAGAGTCATGGGGTAAACACGGTTTGAGAATTTTATTTTCCAGTTCTTAGTGGAAGTAGCTTTTTATTTATTTTATTTCTTTTTTGCCTCCATCTATTTTGCATGAAGAGTCCCATTCTGGTGCCAACGCAGGTGCCGCAACTTGTAACCCTGGCACGCTTCTTTTTAACAACAACAAAGAAGTCATATTTGTATTTTTATATCTAAATATTTGTTATTTGAATTATATGCTAGTCTATCGTCTTACGGTTCATCAACAAAGATATTTGTACTTCAGAGAGGGTTTGACTATAGGGACTGGGCCTCACACTGGTAAATCTCAGTTTAGTAGACTGGTCTTGTTCTATATCAAAGGTCAGGCTTTTTTTAAAGACTTACTGAATGTGTCTGGGTTTTTTGCACACATCAATGTTAAACTATTATTAAGAAGTCGTATACTGTGAGTTCAGCTTCGTTGATGAATTTGTTAGAAAAAATATGGCAGTTTTAGAGTATATTGCACTGTTTACGAGTATCCACAAATAACGCATTGTTATTTGACCTATTTTGAACATGACAATTTTTTTGTTTTGTTTGATTGATTTGTTTGACTTATTTTATTTATTTTGTACCATACTTTTCAACAAATGGTTGTGCATGAAACCTTAATATTTTCAAATATAAAAAAAAAAACATTGTTTTACGAAGCAAAAAAGCAACAAAAATGTCATGACATTCTAAGAATGAGTCATTGTATATTATGATGCCATTTTCACTGTATTTGGTGAATTAATAAATGGTGACAGAAAATGTTAATGCGATTCCTTGACGTGGCTTTTGTTCTGAGACATTCAGAGAGAAACAATGAGCCAGCACTTAGGAGAACTAGATCCGTTCTATGAATGAGACTGAAGGCAAAAAATAAAAGGTCACAATTTGTACCAAGTTAGCCACTGCAGGTAAATCTAGCCTTAGCCAGCCAGGGAGAGCTTGCATCATTGCCAGTTTGGGCCTCTGCAGCTTCTGGAATGATTAGCTATGGTCCTAATGATAGAAAACACAGATCCTTAATTAAAGAGACACAAATGAATCAGTGATCCAAGACTTGAGCTGTTAAACAGCTCTGTGCTGGCCTACACAAGTGAATCCATTAAATCACAAATCCCCAGTGAGCCACAACTAGGCACATAATCGCCCATAGGCATGTGCATGCTCACTTTACACAGCGGACTAATATATCAACTCTACAAGGTAAAGGCACATTTTAGGATCCTGAAAGTTATGTTTTAAATGTCATAATTTATCACAGGGTTAAGCTTATTGAATTTGTTCTATTTGCTATATCCTTCTACGGAACTGAATTTATCTATCAGAAAAACACAGGGCCAGTGATGACTGAAATCATTCAGTTTTTGGACCAAGTGTGTCTACAGAAGACAGTCATCTGACTTGGAAGAAGCAGAAACAGTGTAGGTTTCTGGCTCAATATTATTTCATTTTTTTCCTCTGGTAACTTAAGAAATACTCTGACCCAGGTGGAGAATCACTACCTTGACACAATGAAAGATCTGCAAATTCCCTGTGCTACAAAACAAATTATAGATCTTTTTCAAATTTTACAATGTTTTAACCTCCTCCTCAGTGTATTTTAACTCTGAATTTAAGGGCATAAAAAAACAGAACATAAGCTGTAAAGAAAGGGAAACATGGGTCTCCTTGTTTCCCAAAACTAAACAGTGTGTCATAATTTGGTTGTATTTAGCCCTTTAACTCTAACATATACCATGCATAAAGTTTAAGACACAACAAGGTTATAAAAGAACGAGGTTTAAATATCTAACGGAGGACTGTTCAATGCACCATCCGGAGCTCTACCAACCTGCCAAGACCCACCTGTCCTCCTAAAATTGAAAAGTGATGCAAGAAGATAATTAATTAGAGATGTTCAAGAGATATTCAGGGTTACTCTGGAGCAGCTGCAAAGATGCAGAGCTCAGGTGAGAGAAGACCACTGTTATTTGTGGACTAAAAATCTTGCTGTAATGCAGCTTAATGTGGCAGGGTAATGTGGAAGAAGGTATTCTAGTTAGATGAGAAGGATAATTTTTTACTTTATTGCATGCAAAATGCTACACATAGTCAAAAAATAAGCATAGTTCTTCTCTCAGAAAAAACTATTCCTGAAAGAAGGCTGCACAACATTGCAGACTGAAAAGCAGAGGTCCAATCGAAAGGTTTAGATCAAAGCATATTCATGTGATAGCATGCCCCAGTCAAAGCCCAGACCTAAATCCAATTGAAAAATCTATGGCAAAAACCTGAAAATGTAAGTGCACAGATAATCCAAAACCACCCGACCAGGCTTGATTAATTTTACAAAGAAAATGATCAGCATAAACTATCAGCATCTAGATATGCAAGACTTGAAGGTACTCTGAAAACATACTACTGTGAGGGGGTTCTTCAACACCAGTTCAACACTTTTCAAAAGACTTTGGAGACATTCTAAAATAAAACCCGTCTACATTTCCTTCTATTTTGAAATGATACACTCATTCATGTTGTTGTATCACATAAAACCCCATTAAAAACATGAACAGACTAAAGGTTGTAATGTCAAGATACTTTTTGAAGGTAAAGTAGGAAGTTATATCTGATGGGATAAGAAGCAAAAAATAAATACTGTACTACAGTCTTTGATAGCAGTATCAAGGAGGAAATTAGGTCAGCTGGTAGCACCCCTCTTCCACCTGTAGGACACAAACATGACTGATAACCACTCAGCAGTAATGACTTCCATGCAGCCGCACCATAATGTTCCTTGAAACAGGCTGGTTAGATTAACTGTTATTGGTTTAAAATAGCATCTTCAATTCCAGGACACATCCATAAACAGTTGCATGTACTGACAACAGCACATGCACAGCTATCTGTACGCTGTTCCCACTTGCGCTTTGAAGGACATAAACAAAGCATCACCAGTGTAACGCTTCCATTCCCATCAGCAGGATTATTGACTTCTCTGATAACACCAGCACTGCGCTGAATGAACAAATAGTGCTATTGATCATGTTGTTGTGGATGCTGGGGATGAACTGCTTGTATGCGTGTGTCTGTTTGGTGCCATGAACAATTACTCTTTAGCAGTAATGGGTAGCCTCTGCAGACCGGAACCGGACTGACATATTTGGGCAGATATTGGATTGTGCTACAGTAGCTCAGCTTCAAGCGGCTCTTCCTGTCATATGAGTGTCTGTTTGTTTATAGATAATTTTTACTGCAATTTATATTAGCTGACAAATATCTATTTAACAAATCAGTCAGTCTCGACTCATAAAGACTCAATAGATCCACATATTGAATTTCCTACAGGATATTAGATTTGACCATATCCATCCACAATCTGACTCAGTCATTAACATTAGAATGAGAATTTAAAACTTATATCTGAACAGTTTATATCATCACACAACCTGACAACAAAAGTATGCTTACATAATTATCCCATTCTCACACACTGACTGAGGCAGAACATGTGCAAATTTAGTACATAAACAAAGCCAACCAAAAAGGGATTGGGTGAAAGACAGTCTGTGAGTTCAGAAGGAAACAAAGTAGAATATCTAAGGATGTAAAGGTCTATTTGAGCTTCACCTTTGCTCATGTTAGTTTGCTGAAAATCTGCAAGGTTGCTAGGCTGAAAAGATTAAACAAAAGCTCTTAAAAAAAGAGCACTGCTGTGCATTTTTACAATACTTAGGACCATATGGTTGTACCAAGAGACTGCTGTAAAACTGTGAGGTCATGAACACACAGGTCTGGAAAAAATATGAATGGAGAAAAAAAAGAGGAGCACTTCATTCCATTGCAAAAAACATTTATGGTGTTTGAAAAAGGGTTATAGTAGTATGAGTGTCGAGGCATTGTGTTGTAGCACTGGAGTCAGGAATTCATTCATCTCTTTCTAATCATTTAGCAGAAGCTATTTCTACAAAAGGGGTCTAAAGGAAGTAATACTGACACAATCTTATCTACTTAGATAAGTGTCTTGAATGTTTTTATGCTTTGTTCTATAACACCCAAAAACAAGATTTCATGTGATGGATCAACACAAACTGGGGCATAACTATAAAGTTCAAGGAAAAGATAGTTTTAAATAAAACACAAAACTACAGGAAAGACAAAACTAACGCATTGCATGCATCGCAATGCATTGCAACTAATGCATTTTTGGTTAAAAACTATAACCATATATATACAGCTGCATGTCTTTTGACTACGTGTGCTATTTCATACTAGAAACGTATACCCCTGGGGAGTACATTTCAGGTTTTAATACTTTTGCATTGTTTAGATGAAGCCTTTTAGGGAGCCCTGCATTTACCTCCAGTATTAGGTTAATGCTTATTTAGAAAGCTGAAAAGGGACCATGTTTGGGAGCCAAATTCTTAAAGGGAAATATGGGTAAAACCAGAGTAGACTACTGTATAACGCATAAAGCAACATTTCTAGGATATATAGACCTACCCAAACAATCTACAGTATTCTCTTAATTTCCTTTTTGAAAGTGTTTCTCATATCTGCTCTGCTTCCAATACATTTATGTGGTGGCTATATTTTTGTCTAATCAGATTTCAGCTTCTGTATGTTGCCATGTCAATCAAACCTGCACACAGCCTTAAGAACCAGCAGTGTTGGCTGAAGTTCCCTAAAAATATTAGTAAGGAATGTTTTCTTCAACCAATCAGATTTCAGATTTGAATCAGCATTTTCTGTCATTTCATTTGTCAGTTAGAGCAAAAATGTTTACAGCCAATAAGCTAGCAACAATCTGCACTTGAAGGTCACTTATGTTAAAAGTTTTTCTGGCCCAAATGGCTGATTTTAAATAGATACTAATACCTTTTGCACAAAGACAGAAGGATGGATTTTAACTTATAGATAATCAGCATCTCTGGTGGGTGTGATATATATTATTTTCATGTTTTATTCTCTATTGTATCTAGTAATTAGATGCATATTGAATCTTAACGGCTACTCATGATGTAAATGTGGTGAGGCTGCGGTTATAGAGTAGAGGTTTGCTGTTGTCTCAACTGGGCTTCTAGCGTAATTGATCTCTGTACTCACCTTCACACTAATCTGCACTGCCGGCCACTGGTGAATACAAATGGTTACCATACTGTATAGATCTTTAGTTTGAAAAAGAAAACCATGAATTGCTCCCACCATTCACTTCAGAATTATCACTGCTTTGGTTTTCTCTGATGCATGATTTCCCACAAAGTAAACGAAGTTTTAAAATAATAAGACTGCACAAAACAGGGCTTTATAATTTTAGGAACTTAATTGAAAATGTTATAATGCCATTAATTGAATATTTATGAGGTTTGTAAACTTGTATTATTCCACACACTGCAATTTGTGGTTCACATCTCTTTCATGGAGAGTGTGTATATTTTGTCTACATTTTAAAATCCCCCTAGCAAACTTTACAGTAGATGATAGAAATACTCACAATGTTCCAGCATTGTACTTGTGACAGCCAAAAGGTTCTTTGCATAATTAGAATCTAAGAATAATTATTATTTTGTAAATAATCTACACTAACTTTAGTCCTGTTTCTCTGACTAGCTGGATGTGCTCTTTTCATTCTCGTACATGGGAGCTGGCTCAGAGTTTGTCTGCCTGGCTGTGTTTCCTGGACGGGGCCGCCTTTTACAGCTGTCTTTTGTATCTCTGCTTCTGTCTCCTTGAACCCCAGTCGGCCTCGGCAGATGGCCGCTCACACTGAGCCTGGTTCTGCTGGAGGTTTCTTCCTGTTAAAAGGGAGTTTTTCCTCTCCACTGTCACTACAAGCATGCTTAGTGTGAGGGATTGCCAGTCGAAGCAATCAACTGGTTTTCCTTAGATAGAAAACTTTGAATTAATTTGACTGTATGATCTGGTGAACTGTAAAGCGCCTTGAGATGCCATATGTTGTGAAATGGCGCTATATAAATGAACTGAATAGAATTTAATTAAACTGATTGTCCTTGTGGATTAAAAAACATTTTAAGAGTTTATTGCATGTATTGCATTTCTTTCTGTTAGTTTTCCAGCACCAACAATGTGTTTTTTTTTTGTATAACACTAAATGTGTTCCTTCAAGTTTTCTAACAAAATATGCCAAAGAAAAAAATGCATGCACTCTTTTAAATTCTAATGAATGATCATAATCTGGCAGATTTTCTGGATGTGAGGCTCACAGTGGGTTCAACTCCAATATGCTATGTG